AGGGAATTGGCAAGAAAATGAGACGGAGTAAGTGCTTGATTCATCTGCCTCTACTGCCTGTGGTTTTAACTGTGTTGTTGGTATTTCTTGCTTTAATGTTTCTTGAAATTCTTTCCAAATTTCAGCAGCATCTATAATACAGCAGTAATCTTTCTGCAGTTTGTCCAAGGCTATGGAAATAGGTTTCACTCTAGTCAGCATATCTTCTACATTCCCTTTTCCACAACTTTGACTACTCTAGCTGTGATACTTCCATCAATGTTGTCAAGATTTTCTTCATAGGTGGTCATCAGAATATGCCAATTCCGAATAAATAGCTCAAAGCAGTTAACCACTAAATTTCACTCTATGAAGCTTCACCTCAAAAGTTAGATGTTTTCCCCTTCATTCTTGTATATAAGAAAATCAGCCTTTAACTTCAGAGTTTTTAGTAAAGGCTCATTGACTCAACATATTATTTTATCTATGGTGAATTATTTTAATAGATTACCCTAAATCAATACAGTCTATGCTGTATTAAATTCAAATTTCGCTTTAAGCTAGTTTATTTTTAGAAACAATTTAATTATAATTTAAATTATTTTTTTAAATCTGTGTTTTAAATTTATTTTAAGAAATTAATCTTTATTCCACCCTGCCCCATGTACCACTGTTTCCTTAGCTATGAAATTTCACCTGTACTGCATGCATGGGGCCTGATGTCTGTGGTAGACCATATCAAGGCCTGCCCCGAAATGCCAACTGCTGGGTTTGAGGCTTGCTCCCCAAGTCATTTCATTTACCATATTTACTCAAATACAAGATGAAGTTTTCCCCCCCAGTCAGCGTAGTGGGGTTAAAAGCCTCATCTTGGATTTGAATACTAGCTTGAGGTAGGTGGTGGCTCAGCTCTGGCCTTGGCTTGGAGCTTGGGGCTGAAGCCAGAGCTGCGCTGCTGCTTGTTCTGGTCCAAGGGTGGCTTGTGTAGCAGGGGAAACCACCCAGTGGGTGGGGACACAGAATGTGATTCAGAGTGAAGCGTGGGGGAGACGATGCAGCCTGCCTGGCCCCCTACATCACCTGCCCTCCATCATCAGCCTCTTGCTTCCCTCCAGTGCCCTGCCTTACCTTCAGCTTTGGCTCCAGCTCTGACCCAGCTGAGGCCACAGCTGGTGCTGCTGCTTCTCTTTGGTTGGGCTGGGCAGAGGCTGCTGCTTCTGCTGACTGCTCCATAGTAAGTGGCATGGAGGGGTGAAGAGGGTGAGGGGGAGCCGAGGGACAGGTGCAAGCATGGGTGGGGCAAGGGAGGCAGGTACAGGGATGGGGATGGAGGAGGCAAGTGGCAGGCATGGTGGGGAGTGGGGGCAGAGGGAGAAGGTCTGTTCCCTTGTCCTCCTGCTGCTACTTCAGGGTGATGAATTTAATGACCTTCCAACAATTAGATTCTATTCATGGAAAATTGTAACGAATTTATAATTTTCCACGCATGGAATCTAATTATTGGAGACTCATCATAACATTTGATGTTGTCTTGAATTCAGGTAAATGTGGTTCTTCTTCATTATGGGCCCAATTTGATGAGTCAGTTGGCTTAGGTGAACAGCCCCACTGAAGACAACAGAATGACTTACTCATATATGTGATTTTATAGGGTTGGTCTTCATATAGCAATGAAACTCACACTCAGTACTAATTATTTTGCAGGGCTGTGTTCCAAACTTCTTTACTTTAACTGCACGTGCGTGTCTTTTACAAAATCATTTTCTGCAATCTTGTAAACCAAGGCTCAGACTTTTAGTGTTTTTCTATCTTTTTATGGTTCTGTGCTGAATTTAGCAAAGCATCGTAGGCATATAATACATATTTGTTTATACAGTCATAAAAAGCATCTAATTAATTGCTTGACTAAATTTGAGCATATACAATTAATCTCTGACAACAAAGATGTTTGCAATGGAAATTCTGACTTTTTATCATTGATTATAGTAATTTTGAAGAAATCTCCCGATATAATGGAAAGTTTTTCACTTTTTGGTAGAAAACTAACATTTCCATTAACCAGAAGACTCATCAGAATTACACTCTGTAGCTCCATCTGTTGTTGTCCATTACATTTGAACTCTTATATCTAAGGAAAATGTATATAGAAGAGGAGGTGGTTACCCTGTGGTATCTTGTTCTTTCTCTCTCACTGTATATGGAAATACAGCATTAAGTTATTTTTCCTACTGGTTGATCTATATCTTTCAGAGGACTATGGGAATCTACTACTTGCAGAAGCCTTGCTGGAGCAGTGTTTAAAGGAAAACCTTGCCAAAGTGAAGGACTCCATTCCATTAATGGAAAAGAGCGAGCCAGAAATGAGTGAAGCCAAAAAATATCTGACCAGTGTTCTAAACAGGGGAAAATTACGAGTAAGTACTCTAAGCAGATATATATCTTTGCCAAATTGATGCTACTGTTGTATGATAGTTCAAAAGATAGACAAAACTTACGCATCATTCATCCAGGTCCCTGTTTCACAAACACAAACCCGTGTTCCTTTATTAATATCACTAATGCACCATTTGCTGTCTCTTGGCAGTATGTTCAGTCAGAAGAAATCACTTTTTGCTGCTGATGTAAAAACTCTCTGTTCATTTTCTGATGCACATCTATAGCTGCTTTTTATTTGTGATTTGAAAGAAGTTGGCTGGAGGTTTAGGAATTTGCTAAGGTTTTGGATATATTCTGCTTGTGTATCTTGCCTTCAAGGGACTGAAAATTATACTAGTCTGAAGTGTGGGACTTGCTATACTCTGTAAGAGTTTAATTCTGTGAGGTGTACCAAAGAGTTGTAGCCTTTACTTTGCATTTATTTCAATGTATTTATAGGTAATTGAGCTAAGATTTTCAAAAACCGCCCAGTACCTTTTGGGTGCTACTAATGGCACCCAGCTTGGAAGCATGAAATCAATAGAGTGGAAGCAGGGGCTTAAGTCCGTTCTGCCTAGGGGTGTGTGTTCTTTAACTTTAGGGTGAGCTGTGTGCATAATGCAGCTCTTTGCATATTTATACACTGAACCATTTTGTTCCCTTCCTCATTTTGACGGCAGTACCAACTGATGTAGCAATTTGCATTTGTGGAATGTCTTGTCATTGGTCACAGTTATGCAGTTCATGTTTCTTAATCATGAGCTTGTTATTAAGCTATGGGCTCCCAATACTAGTCAGTGCTGCATTTATTAAAATATGAAATGGTGTGTGAGCCTTTTCCTGCTTGCTGATACATATGGAAAGCCTGAAAGGCTATTTCAAGTCTCTTCTTTAACTTTAGAAACATCAAGAATATTCATTGTTTCTTTGTTTTTTTGCTTTTGGATTCCTTAGAAAGCCCAAGAATCAGGCTGGGAGCTTTCTCAGCCCTTACTTTTAAGGGGTGTGTGTGTGTGTGTGTGTGTGTGTGTGTGTGTGTGTATGATTTTGAATCTTTAACAAAGCCATTTTCTCCTGCCTGTTAGTCACTTGCATGAAATGTGAACAAAGCCGTTCTAGGCAATCTCAGTAGAATTTTTTATTTTGTTTTATTTTTTTGCTCTTAGTTTCACTTTCTTGCCATACCATAATCTGTTAGTTTTTAAAGTCTTTCTGGGCAAAGAGGGTAGGCAAGAGTTTAACTTCCTGGGTTGTTTTTTGATGTTAGAAACTGAAAAGAAATAACCCAAAACCCCAAACCTTGCAGGTCTTGCTTGTACATCAGAAGTGTAAAATTGGTCAAAAGCCCAAATATTTCTTTGCCAGGTCATTTTTGATGATAGCCATCATCTAGCCTGGCAGTGTATTGGGCCTGCCTGCCCTTATGTTCAGCCTGTCCACATGGGGGTGGAATAGAGAAGGGACCTGCACTTACTTTGTGGATCAGAGCTGCTTGAATTAGAGAACACGAATACTCACTCACTCCCCTTTCTTACCTTTTGGATTTGGGTATAACCTTGGCCCTGTCTCCCCAAATCCACCAGTCTAGGGTGGGGGGCTTCAGGAAGTGCAGAGCTACTAAATAGCCCCAAGTAGGATAGGGGAAGAAGGTTGGGATTGAGTTTCTGTTTTAAAGGAAATTTTACCTCCCTTGGGGTGGACCATCACTGGGAGCAACCGACTGGTAGTCTTGCCCCAGGCATAGGTGGTATAGCCCTCCACTGGGAAAAATGCAGACAATATTGGCGTTTCTGACAACTTTAAATATCCCAGTAAATTGCAATATCCTTTTCATGGCTGTTAATGAAATTGAAATGCAGGCTGCATGCATGTGAGGGGCATCAACTCTGGTGCCTGCCAGCTGTATGTTCCAGGTACAAAACAATTGTTGATACTTTGGCCACTGATTGCATATTTAAAAGCGAGGGCATAAGACTGGGATATCTTTCCATTACCTCCCTCCCATCCTTAGCATTTGAGAGTTAATTACAAGCGAAGTGTCACTATTGAGACTGTCTTGATTTTTGGCTTCCTGTCAAGTACTCAGTTAGCTCTGAGGTAACATTGCTTTGGTCTCCATATCTCTAACCATAGCCATATCTTTATTTTTCAGCCTAAATATATGACGGAAGCCATGCTGATTCTAGGGAAGCTCCATTATGTGGAAGGATCTTACAGAGATGCAGTCAGCATGTATGCTAGAGCAGGACTTGATGACATGTCCATAGAAAATGAACCCTTGTACCTGCTGCGTCTGGTGACAGAAGCATTTGTCATCAAAGGTAACCGAGTATAGATATGCTTATGTTTATGCTAAACTCAAAGTTAGCCTTAGCATTGATTTGAATGAGAGCAGTGTTAGGCTGATGCTGAAAGCTTTTTAATAACCTCTCCCATAATATGTAGTCAATGTAAAAATAAATGCATTGCAGAGTTTTAGTCCATATCTTTTGCCAAGACAGCCAAGTTTAGAACATGTTTGAAAATGTTAGACCGTATAAAGGCTTCTTGAGGTGCTTGTGGCTCTGAATCAGCAGTGCATTTAAGCATGTGCTTCAATTTTATGGCAAAGTCAGAATACCAAAGGGGGCCTCTACTTATGTTTAGAAATAAGTGACCTGTAGACAAACCTTGAATGACTCTCATAAAGTAATTAACACAGTCTTGCCAAGTTTTAAACTGTGGGCTAATAGAATAATTGCTTTTTTTAAAACAGTTAGTGTATTTTTGCAGTGCATGGAACATACTATCAGACCATATGTACAATGGCAGTTTCTTCTTTTATTTTCCTCTCCCCTTTTTTGGTTTTAGTTATACAGGTCTTACAGTGTTTGAGACTTTATTGAAAACAGCTTTAAAATTGCATTTAATTTTTGTAAATGGGGAAAAAAATCCCTAGTCAGTAATTGAGTGGAAAGAAAAAGACCAGTAATCTTTTCCTTCAGTTGCTTTCAATTCTTTTTATAAATGTTGCTAAATATTGCTATCTATCTACTGCTTTCTACTCTTTTCAGCATGTCCACCAGCTTGTTAGGTGAATGAGAACTCTGTGATGATCAGATACCCTCAAATGGTATGTAAAGATTAAAATTAAACCAACCCAAGCACTGTTTGAATGGGCTGTTAACGTTGATAGTAATTTGGATGTGTTTCACGATCTCACACAGTCATAGCATTCTGCTTTTTTAACAAAAACCTGTTTGTGCTGCTTTGCTGGCTTTGGATTTCTTTTCTGCAAGCAGTGGATGAGCCTTCTGTGGTAGTGAGCTTCTACCTGCCACTGATTCATATGTAACTTGCACTAACACTTTTTGCTTGGAGTGAAGGATGTGGCAGAGGCACAGGGAAGTTAGGAAGCACAAATACACATTGATATGGGTGCAAGATCAGCTGACTGGACATTCCAAAGTCCATTGAACTTCATTGAATCATTCCACTGACTACAGTGGGCAGTAGCTTTGGGGCTGGATAACTATAAAGGTTGTTGTGGTGAGTGTACATGAAGAGATGGAAATGCCCTGTTTCTCCGGGGCCTCAAGTAATTGAGTGCCTTATCTCTTGATACGGCCGTGGAAAGTGGAGCTATATCTACTTATCAGCTCAGGCCTTTTGTTTGGCTTTTTGTTTCATATTTGCAAATAAAAGTGATCTATGTTTTTGTTTGGAATTTGAGAGACAGGTGAACTGCAGCAATATCATTTTCACATTCCTTGTTTCCCACCTTTTCCTGGTTTATTTATCAGCCTGTGGTTCTCAACTGGGCTACCACAGCACCCCATTCTGTTGCAAGGGCTCATGAGGGGTGCTGTGGTAGCAGTCGCCAGGTAAATCTGCCCTGCACACTCCCCCTTTATTAGAGCTCTCTGATTAACCTAAAGGAGGCAGCAAAGCTGCCTCATGCTGTGTAGCCCTTCCTTGTCCAGTTCCTAGATGCTCTTCATATAAAACAAAACCTGCAAAACAGAAGTGGTCCAATCAGTTTGGGAAAGAAAGTTACCTCTATGGCTCCCTGTAGTCTTCCTACATCACACTAACCAATGCAGTTACTTCTTGATGGAAACAAACAGTTTAATGCAAGACATTGGTCATAAGAAAGCAACAGCTTTTTCCAATTTCTTTACTTGCTTACAAAGCCATTAAGTCCTCTATGTAAAGTGTGTAGCAACAGTTGGTTTCTGCTCCGACTACAAGGCCTGGTGAAGTGAGCTATGAATATTTTTGATGAAACTGAAAGTTCCTAAAAACAGTTCAGTAGATTAATATTCTCCTCTATTTGGAAATCTTCCCGGATGCAAACGGCCAGGTCTTCATCTGGTTTAGGTTGTTACAGTTGCACCAACATCAGTGGAATTATTCAGATTTGCCCAAACTGAGGATTTGGCGCAAATACATTCTCAAATATCTTTAAACTTATTCCCTTAGATATCAAGATTTGTTTTCTTCTAGCCTTCTACTTCTAATTTCTTATTCAAATTCTAAAAGAAAAAAGTACATTCAATAGCTTTCCATAGTTTTCCTTATCTAGGTATCTACCCAGTATTCATGCAAAGAAAGCATTCCCCAGCAATCTTCAAGCTCCACTTCTGCATGAATTTGTTACTGCTACTGTTCCTAGAACTGACCTTCTGCATTCTGGTGTTTCTGGGTTGGGAAATTATTGCATGGTGCAGTGCTGCAGGGCAGACTCCAAGGGTGTGGACAGACAGTCAGATTAAAAGGGCAGTGGCATTTACTTCATGTCAGTCAGCTGTTCTGCACTGTTTTGTATGTCTGTTTCTATCCTGCAGTAAGTGGAAGTTATAGAGAGACAGATTCACCCTAAACAAAACAGGGAGAAATTACTGGGTTTTGTTTCTACTTCCTATGGCATTAAGCAGTTACAATCTATTGGTTGGTCTGGATAATTTTTCTGTTTGTCCATATAGTTAGACCAGAGGTGTCAGAAGTACAGCCTGTGGGCCAGCCCCAGCCCCTGGAGCTTCTATAACCTGGCAGGCCACTGGAAATTAGGGAGCATGGCTGGGGGGAGTGCCCTCAGCCCCTGGTGGACGTGGCAGGAGGGTGAGTGAAGGCTGATGTAGCCCTGGTTACTCTCCAGCCATTTTGCTTGTAGCCATTGCCGAGGCCTTACTTCCTTGGCTGCTGGCCCTGCTGCTGCCCCATGCTATGCCATGTGTCTTATGCCAGAGCTGGAGTCGCTAGAGCTACTGCCCTGGCCTAAGGCACATGATGGCAGCTCTGACTCCAACCCAGGACACATGGTGGGAACTGGAACTACACCACATGCCCTGTCCTGGAGATGCCACTGGGTAGTGTGGAGGAGCTGCTGCAAAGCTGGATCAGGAAAATTTAAGGCTTAGTGTTCCAAGTTCTGGAAAACTCATCTGAGGCTTTTCAGTGTGTTATCATTAATTAGTTTGCCACTGCAATACAATGGGGATCTTGGGTCTAGTGTGTCTGCGGGTATAAAAATGCACAGAAAAAAAAATACCAATGTCAAAATTCTTGAGTGGGCACTTACCCCAAGTCAATATGAAATAATAAGTGTTCAAGTTGTTTATAAATGCTGGGGTTTGAGTAGTGTAACAGTGACAGAAGTAATGACAGGGGTCAAGGTACTTTTGGAATCTAAGCTCTCTACATGTGCTGCTTCCAAGCCACATCCATTGAGGCGGAAGGAGCAGAAGGAAAGTGATGCTAGGCCTTGTTTAACATACAGGGTCTTGACTCTTCATAATTCCCTCTCAGTTTAGCAAGGACTAGTCCTTACACTCTTCCTCTGATTACCTAGTGGGTTTCTCTTTTCAGCAAGAATGCATTTGGTATGACTTTTTATTTCTGGAAGCCTCCACCATGCTGCACATGCTGTATGGTGAAAGTGATTCTGCTTGTTGCTGTTGCGAAAAGAGGGTTAAGCAAGCAAGTGCATCAAAAGCCAAGTTCATTCTCATTTCACTTCTGATTTGCTTGGCCACCTGTGTTGTCATCTTCTTCCAGCGTGTGGTGCTCTGAGGCCCAGTCACACCAGGGAAGGAAAGAGCAGTTTCTAGTGATGCTTTCTGGTGTGTAGTCACTATGTACTGTCTAGAACAGGATAGCTGATAAATTCTTTTAGCTTTCAAAGCTATTTTGTAGCATTGAGCCATCAGTCTCTTGCTGCATTTTGTCAGCTTCAGCCTAGACTTTCAGTAAACCTAGACTCGTATTTCTGTCATGACTCGCATCTAAATAGGACCTAAATGCTTCTTAAACATGGATCCCAGATGGTTTAAAGGCAACACTCCTAAGAGAATGCTGACAAAAGCTAGTAGTGTAGATTAGGCCTATGTCTAAAGGTCTTTCTCCAAACACCTCTCTGTCAGTGCTTACGCCATGTGAGCAATGTGGCTTCTGACCCTCAGCTTAGTTCTAGAAAAAAAACTTCTGATTTTTATATTTCCTGCCTCTCTCTTGGTCTTTTTAAATTGCCAAGAATGTGGGATTATGGGATATCATCTGCTTGGGAGCATGTTGTTCCTGTTGCAGCTGCTCACATTTGGTTCCTTACACTCCATAGGTAATTATGGTGACAATAATGCTTTGCATTTACATAACCTTTATTGTCTTGACATCATCAAATCTCTTTAGAGAGGGAGAGTAAGTATCATTAGGCCTTTGGTTATATGTAGATAAATCAAGATACAGGAAGTCCAATGACTGTGCCAAGCTTATATAGCAAGGCTGCCAAACGCATCTGGCCCTGTAGGCCAGATGAACATTGCTGGGCCAGTCTGCAGGCTGGACTGGGCTCACCAGAGTCAGCAAACAGGACTATGGCACAGCATAGTGTAGTGTGCTTCCTGTGCCAGACCCCTGGGTCGTATGCAGCGCACATAGCTCCGGGGTGCTTAATGACTTGCACTGCAGGTGGCACATGGGCAACCAGTGCTGCACATAGCTTGGGGGGGTGAGGGGCAGGGGAAGCAGGGGCTGGCGCAGGTTGTGTGCTGCACCCTGCCAGACCTGCCCAGGAATGAGCCATGCTGGAGTCAGCTCACAGGGCTGGCTGGGTGGGGCACAGCATGGAGCACATGCCCTGTACTGGGCCTCACTGGCCCATATCCAGTACCTGTGGGCCAGATCATATGGTTTCATGGGTCGCATGTCTGACACCCCTGTTAGAAAGCAAATCAGTGATGGAATCAAAAAAAAAAAAAGAGCAACCAAATCTCTTGACTCCCTTTGCCTTGCTGCTGTTAGTTAAAATCATGATAAACACTTGCAGGAGAATGGCAGAATGATG